CTTGGCTCACCGCAACCTCTGCCTCCTGGGTTCAAGTGATTCTCCTGCATCAGCCTGCCGAGTAGCTAGGATTACAGGCATGTGCAACCATGCCCGGCTAATTTTTGTATTTTTAGTAGAGACAGTGTTTCACCATGTTGGTCAAGCTGGTCTTGAGCTCCCAACCTCGGGTGATCCTCCCACCTCAGCCTCCCAGAGTGCTGGGATGACAGGCGTGAGCCACAGCGCCCGGCCCTTATTTTTATTTAAGCAGATTACTAGGCAAATGATTTCTGGATTTTCAATGATAATATTTACCTTTAGAACTAACTTAAGAAATATATCTCACAATTTTTATTTTATTTTGCAAAAATGACCAAGTTTGCTGTGTCAGCAACACATCTAGTACAACATGAAAAACACGTAAGTGTAGAACACATGTGAAAAGTAACAAGGCTGGAAAACTCAGTGGACAGAGAATATTTTCCAGAAAATGACTTGAGTTTGCCCTGTCAGCAACACATCTAGTACAATATGAAAAAACACGTAAGTGTAGAAATATGTGAAAAGTAAAAACTCAGTAGACAGAGAATATTTTCCAGATTTCATTTTAACTTCATATAGAAATAGCAGTTATCCTCCCTTACTCAAACATGCCCAGTTCTCTGTCAGTTCAAGGTCAGTTTTTTAGCCGTAGTGACAGTATTGTTTGCATCTCCCTTTGTTATTTTTTTTCCGGGCCCAACTCTTCTTTTTTTCATCAAGGATTTCTGAAAAAGCAATGGGCAAATTCCCTGCCTCCAAGATACCCCTTAGAGACTGGTGAACCACGTGTTTGTCTGGCTCTTGTAATGGGGTGTTAAAAGCACTTGTTCATCAGATATTTTCTTTTTATTTGTAGATTTAGAAGTATTTTAGCAGGTGTACATTTGCATATAAAAGAGAAAAAAGATAAGAAGTTGAGGCTTTCTCTTTCTTCTCTCAACATCATCTCTCTCTCACCTCTCTTTGTTCAACATGTTTTCACTTTCTTTCTCTCACCGTTTCTATTTTCTAGACACAAAACACATATCAAAAAATAAACAGTCTCAGGGATCCTTCAGCATTTTGCAGGAAGATGATTGGGTTCAGGCGGCTTATGTAACAAAATAGAGGAAAATACATTTATCTCATGTCATCAGTCAGGAGTTAATAGACAAGGATAGATTTTCACCTTCTGGAGCTATAGACTGCATGGGATGGCCCTCTTTGTCTTGCCTTACATTTTAAACTGCAATATTTTCTGGTTTTTAAACTAAATCTAAGCACTGATTTGAGTATATAATTGATGCTTGAACAAAAGATTCACAACTGAAGGCTTGAACATGCGTGCGTGTGTTTGTTTCTGTGTGTATCAGAATATTCCAACCAAAAATAATTCTATTCTTTAGAAATGTTTGTTTTATTGAAACATTTTTACTACTCAATATTTTCTGAGTGTTTTAGGCTAGGAAGTGTTTCCCTGGAGTTCTAAGTGAGGCTAGAAAGTGAAGCCTTTAAAGCAGCCACCCAGTCCTCAAATTTTCAGACTTACAGTTTACTTGCAGTTGAAAAAACTAAATTCTTTTCCCCTTGGACATATATCAACTTTGTCCCTACCTTGTTTATAACAGACTAACTTGAACTTCTAGATTGATTACTTTTGCTTCTTTATTTGTTCAAATAACTATGAATTTGCAGAGCAGCAACAAAGTGCAGCTTTTAACCGCTTGGTTCATCACTGTCTTTCCTCCTTCTAAAAAATCCTGGACCTGAATTGCCACAAACCTTAAAGAGTGTCCATAGCTTTACACTCTTGCTTGATGAAGTTAGCATCCTGGCCAAGTCTTCTGGGCTGTTTCAGGAGGATGTCTGATTTGTTTGAGAACTTCTAGCAAAAAGTACCCTCTTCCCTCCATAGTTTGAAACCTGATCTGTTTGATACAGACAGCTCCTTAAAAATCTTCATACAGCTGATGCCTCCCTGGATAACGTATTCCAACAACCCTTTCAACAAGAAAGCTTTTCCTAACATCTAACTTGTATTCTTGGCTGCAGTTTTTCCCTAAGTATTCTTGTACCACTTTCAGTGAACACAAAAAGTTGCTCACTACCATCTAGTTTTGAGGCTACAAATATGTTCTGTTTTGTCTGTGCAGTGTTTTATTTTTAAAAAGAAGAAAGAAAAGGCAGAAGTCTGGCAAGACCAGGCCCACTTTCCCACCAGGCAGCAATTGGCTGGAGCCAAGGAGCAGCTGTGCTCTGTGGACAGGTCATGTGCCTCCCTGCCTGCTGCAAGGCAGGCCCTTCCTGCCGCTCCTGCCTGGCCATAGTCACTTAGTGGAGGTACCTGCTTGGCCCCAGAGGCATCTGCATCCACAATGCCCACCCCGTCCAGTCTGTTTGCAATACCTGTCCTTGAACCTTCCTTCCCTTCTCCAACCTTGTTCTATGCAGGCTGTGCATCCTTTAACCACTTCTAATTTGTTTCAACCAGCCCTATTAATTTTGTTTTTCCTATGTGGATAATCTTCTGGTCTTTCATAAATAGTTTTGTGCAACAATTCTGACTAAATAGAGGTGTGATGCATGCTGTGGGGAAAACGACTTCAGCTCTGATGCATCTGATCCTCAATCAGACGGCAGCAGTGCTGGGTGCTCTGCCCTCTCCAGCTGCTTTGATGTCTGTGGTCCTGCCTCAGTGATTGTCATTCCTCCAGGTGAATACACTTCATCTTTGTTCCTTTTAAACTTCACTTTGCCTTTAAGCAATTGGAGGGGAGTGCACACTGGGATTGGGGGCAAGAGATATGCCCAACAGTCCTCAGCTTGATCTTGCCACCCCTTTATGACTCATGTCAGGATAAAAACTATCCAGGTGGGCTTCGGTGACTGTGCTTGGAGAAGGGCCACAAAGGCTTAAGGATGAAACACTGGTGAGGAGTGTGGTTGGGAAGGGGTGGGCTCTGGTTGAATGGGGCAGGAGGGTGAGCCATCACAGGTTGGGTGGTCAGCCAAAAGCCATGGAGCGAAAGCCCGATTACAGAGCCCACACTCTTCAGTAAGGAAGGGAGGGGTACCAGAATGGAAAATGTGGAGCATAGAAAGGGCCCATCTTTTCCAGAGTATCAAAATGGTCCCTTGTTGCTATAAGTGATTTCACTTCACATTGGTAATTTCCTCCCTTGCTTACCTCAAACCAGTAATATTATCAGTCCTTCTTCTGTTTGGGCAGAATGCTTAATCCCTCCCAAATCTGAAATTACCTCAAGACTACTAGCTTGATATTTCTGACAGAAATCCTCTTCTGATTGCCAATGACACATTTTCCTGGTTTCTGAGAAGCAGGAGAGCCATCACTGGAGTCAAGTGATTTACCTTCAGACAAAGGACAAGAGAACTTGCAGTGTGCAGCTCCAGCTTCCAGTGGCCAGGAGGCTTTGTTGATCAAGAAGCTGCTCCTTTTTTTTTTTTTTTTTTTTTTTTTTTGCTATCTTTTGCTTGATGAAATAAGTTTAATTGAATGCAGAAATAATATATGGTAATTAAGATCTGGACTTGTATCCTGAAAGCTGAAAAACTTTTTGGTTGATTTTTATAAAATAAAAATGAAACAGGGCACTTTTACCTCTTTTACACTGATTCTTTACCTTTAGAATTCAGACACTCTGTTTTTGATTTTGTTAATATTGTCCCTCTTTCACAGCTACCTCACAGTATAGTTGAAGTAACACGGATGTAAAGACTAGCCAGAGGGCATCATGACACCATCCCATCGGAGCCATCCTAGGACAATGTGACCAGCCTCATCAGGAAATACTTTCGTCCCAGCCCCCACCCCTCCTGCCCACACACACAAACACACATTACACAAAACAGTACTTTCCCCTCTGTATGCACTGTCTGATGTTTTCTTTGTTAGATTTTTCAAAATACTAGTTTCAATGACCTAAATTGATTTCACAATCCAGCAAGTGTTACCTTAGAATTTTTATCTTCAGAGCGAAGAATCCCTGATCTGTACATATTTTAATTACGTAGTATTTAATATTCCAAAGTATAATGCTCATCTTAAGTACTCGTAATAAGGGTCTCACGGTTAAGTTCTTAAATGAAGCCAGCAAAAGCAGAAATGCAACCTATTGCCAGCCCCTGACGTTGACAGTGGGACTCTTTTTGTGCCACGTTGAAGATGTAGACATAGATCCTATTTTGTTATGTCTGTGCTGAAACTCTGATTCTCCATTCTCCATTTCATCTAGGTGCCCTTGAAACTTAGAGTAATGGGGAAGGTTGTGTCACTCAGGTTCTTTACATATTTTTGTTTACTGTTTTTCCCACGTCTTCCTCAATTTCATCTACAGCAGATGCCATTAGAAGCCCTGCATAGCCAAGGGCATCCTATGAACATGAGCAGGTGCAGGCTGCCGCTGATCCTTGTGAACACCTGGCTTTGCTGTCTGCAAACTCACTCTCACTCCTTCCCCATGCAAGAATTGGTTAGACTTCCTCAGCTGTGGGACTCTGAGCTCATCCAGCTGTCACCATCCTTCCTGACCCTCTCCCCATTCCCCCAGCCCTGTGCCAGAGCCCCTGCACTCAAGTGTGAGAGTCCAAGAGCCGGAGGAAAGAGTGTTTCTGAGTAACCTGACCACTTAGAAAGACTGGCTCTCTCTTCTGGTTCATTCCAGTAGCTGCCTCTACAAGGCCCAGAGGGAAGAGAAACTACTTTACTGTGATAGTGAACCTATCCGCAGATCCACTCAAAACAATGACTAGAATTTGGCTGCCTCAGATAAACTCATACTACTTGTCTTTGAGTCCTGAAACTTGGGTTCAACTAAATTGTTTTTGGTTTGTTTTCAGAATGTCTAAAAAGTGACAGTTCAGAAAATAATAATTTGCATGCATTTGAGAAGTGTTAATCTCATAGGAAGAATTTAAGAAGCTTCTTTCTGGGCAGTAAAAAATGTAGTGTTTTTGTGTTTTTCTTTAATCAATAGAAACAGAAGCCTACCAGTTGCTGAAGAAGGCTACCCTTCAGGATAATACAAATCAAACTGAAAGCAGGTTTCAAAAGGCAGATGCTCCTGTGTCACACTTGTCAGGTAAGTAAGGGCATATGGCAGTGTCCAGGGGACCAAAGTGGCAAGGCAGGGCTGTGTTCAGTGAAGGGTGGTTATTCTTTGAAGGTTTCTGAAGTTTGCTCTGTATTGAGCTGTCAGCAGGTCAGAATGAGCTAGTACTTTTCTATTCTTAGCAAATGGACATGTGGGAAAGCCCTTTTGTTGTGTCCTAGACATGTGCTGGCCAGCATGGCAATGGCCCTCCCAGGCCCTGGATTCTGCCAGGCGTGTCATGATAGTGACTTGTCACCAGTGACCCTGAGAAGACACTTCCAAATTCCTTCTTTTCCCCATTGCTGCCAGTCTCTTAGTCATTCAGTGGGCAGTGTTGTGTTGGGCTGCTTTCCCTCACCAGAATGTTGGAGGAGTTTTTTTTACTAAAAAGAACTCCTTTGAGTTCTTTTACTAAAAGGTGTATAAATCCCAGGAAAGCTAAATTTTAATTATTTAGGTATTTATGTATGTATGTATGTGTGTATTTATTATTTTTGAGGCAGGGTCTTGCTCTGTCTCTCAGGCTAGAGTGCAGTGGCATGATCATGGCTCATGAAGCCTCAACCTCCCAGGCTCAAGCAGTCTTCCCACCTCAGTCTCCCATGTAGCTGCGACTACAGGTGCGCACCACCACACTCAGCTAACTTTTGTATTTTTTTTTTTAATAGAGATAGGGTTTTGCCATGTTGCTCAGGCTGGTCTTGAACTCCTAGACTCAAGCAATCCACCTGCCTTGGTCTCCCAAAGTGTTGGGATTACAGGTGTGAGCCACCATGCCTAGCCAGGAAAGCTAAATTTTAAACTTGATTATAGTTCCTTCCATCTAGGATTTTGGTTTAATTGTAATTTTGGTTGTTATACTTTGTTATTGTTTATCTGTTATTTTCAGTGATTTTCCTTTCATTATACCGGTTTTTAAAGTATAAATCACCTTAACGTCCTCTGTGAGAGTAAATGGATTAATATAGGAGGAAATGAACATTAATGACTTTCTTAGCTACCATGCCATTATTTCACCTAGCAGAATGAACAGTGGTTTCTAAATACCATATAATTCCCAGTCCATATTCAGATTTCCCAGTTGTCTCAAGGATGTCTTCTTTAGCCAGGTACAGTGGCTCATGCCTATAATCCCAGCATTTTGGGAGGCCAGGGTGTGAGGGTTGCTTGAGGCCAGGAGTTTGAGACCACCCTGGGCAGTATAGCAAGACACTGTTTTTACCAAAAAATTTTAAAATTAGCCATACATGTTAGTGTGTTCCTGTAGTCCCAGCTACTCAAGAAGCTAAGGCAAAAGGATCACTTGGGCCCAGAAGTTTGAGGCTGTAGCGAGCTATGACCACACCACTGCACTGGGCAGCAGAGCAAGACCCTATCTAAAAAAGAAAACAGAAAAATGTCTTCTTCAGACATATTTTTGAGAGACATACTTAGGGTGCATCAGACTTAGCTGCCTGTGTTTGGAGAGCTGTTTCCTGGATAATACTAGTGGTAGAGTCAGGTGCGGCAAAATCCAGTTCTTTTGGTGGTTTTGAGGATTTGGTGACCCACTGCACGTTAAGTGCCCAGCACAGCGTCTGATAGTGAAAAGCCCCCTAGGAGAGCCGGCCATTGTGGTGGTAGTGGTGATTTGAACTCTGCAAACATAAGACATTGTAGTTTGTTAGGTATAAAACAGGGCCTTTGGCCGAGTGTGATGGCTCATGCCTGTAATCCCAGCACTTTGGAAGGCCAAGGCGGGTAGATCACAAGGTCAGGAGTTCAAGACCAGCCTGACCAAAATGGTGAAACCTCGTCTTTACTAAAAATGCAAAAATTAGCTGGGCATGGTGATGGACACTTGTGATCTCAGCTACTCAGGATGCTGAGACAGATAATTGCTTGAACCCGGGAGGCAGAGGTTGTAGTGAGCCGAGATTGCGCCACTACACTCTAGCCTGGGTGACAGAATGAGACTCCATCTCAAAAAAAAAAAAAAAAAAAAAACAGGGTCTCTGTCCTGCTGGAGATTGTCATCACTTGCAAACTCTTTAACTGTTTGCTTTCCATGACATTCTTCACATTTGAGTCATGGAATTAGAATCTAGAGAGATATTAGAATGTAGCCAACCCCCCCATTTCACAAACCAAGCCCCAGGAGAGTAACACCTTGCTCAGAGCCTTACAGCTGGATAGCTGACACATACTCTGAAAAGTGACTCCACACATCTGTTTCTAGTAAGTGTTATTTTCCATAGTTAATTGGACAGGTGCAAAAGACGAGTAAATTTGGCTGGGCCATGGCTCACACCTGTAATTCCAGCACTTTTAGAGGCCAAGACAGGCAGATCACCTGAGGTCAGGAGTTTGAGACCAGCCTGGCTAACATCGTGAAACCCCATCTCCACGAAAAATACAAAAATTAGCCAGGCATGGTGACTAGCGCCTCGGCTACTCAGGAGGCTGAGGCAGGAGAAAGGCTTGAACCCCAGAGGCAGAGGTTGCAGTGAGCTGAGATCATGCCACTGCACTCCAGCCTGGGTGACAGAGCCGGACTCTGTCTCAAAAAAACAAAAGATGAGTAAATTTGACATGTAAGTTGTAGTCCCTTGGATGTGTGTAAGAAATTATAGATTGTGGTACTATTAATCTCATGTTTAATGCATTTTATTAATTTATTCATAAGTGAAATGACACTCTAGGTTGTATAGTCAAGCACCCCTAAATCCAGTTTCCTTACTCCATCCTCAAAATTGCACTACGTGTTTTGCAAGATTCCAGAGTTTCTGGCAGTAGAATCATGGACGTGCTCCTGCCTGTGTTTGCTGTCATTGTCATTGTAGTCAGATCCTTCCCTTGATGTTCATCCTACATTTGGCTGTGTGTTGTCTTTTCGCCCTTACTCTTATTCTGATCCTAAGGACTTATGTGAGCCCTAAAGAAAAGCAGAAAGTGGGCTGGGAGGGTGGAGGGCAGCTTCACAGTGCTGTTACAAATAGCAGGGGTGGGAGGTGGTGGTGCACTCTGCACTCAAGGAGCCAACCCCAAATCTAACTAGTGAAGAAGCAGTGCATGTTTCACTTACTCTTGAGTCTTTGGATCTGTCCTGAGGAAAGCCACTTAAAACTTCAGCCTTAGTTTTCATGTCTGAAAAGACTGCCTCCTGTTAAGCATGTGGACACCCTCTTTGGGCTGCATGTGGACACATTTTAAAAATAATTGCTTTGCTGCAGAGCGTACATGCAAGCAGGCAGGTTACAGGTTACAAATTCAGCAAATGCTTTTTGCAAAGATGCCCATGCATGCTGTATCTGTGATTTTGATTGCCAGTTAAGAAGCGGACCTGTAGCAGAAACATCCAAGGCTGAGAACTCCCAGGAGGCAAAGATCAGGGATTGCCCTGCAAATGGGGCAGCGTGGGAATATCCAGGTTTCTGGCTCCAGGAAAAGAGGTGGAGTGTGCATCCTCCTTCTCAACCTTTAGAGGCTAATAAAGAGTGGTCTTGATGGTTTTCAGTGGAAATTCAGTCTCCTCTGTGGAATGGAAAATAGAGGATTTTGCAGAGGGGCTTGAGAGTGGATAAGGTGGGTAACTTATCCACGGGTCTCAATTATTTCTGAGCCCTGGTTTGCTGCCCATGTGTTTTAACAATGGGAATTATCCAGTGCTTTGTGACACAGTAAAGATCCATATGCCTACACGTGCATCTTGGTCATTTTAAACTGAACTGTTTGGATGATTTCAGTTTTTATTTTTTGTGATTTCTATTTAGGTATCACAAGGAAACACCCCACTGCCTTTCAATATTCTACCAACATTTCATTCTCTGCCTCAGAAGCTCCCTTGCTTTCTGTGGCTTGAACACCATCTTCCTCTGTTGGCGCTTGTTTCACCAAACTTACTGTGAGGCCACTTTGTTCGTTTTGTCCCATGGCTGCATGACAGCCAAAGCTAACTCTCCATATTTACACTTATCACAGGTTTGAACATTGGCAGCGGTGCATTCGAAACAAAGACAACTAACAAAATTGCTTCGGAAGCTAGTTTTTCATCTAGCGAAGGAAGTCCTTTGTCAAGGTAAAGTTGTGAAAGGCTTTCTGAATAGTGGCAGCAAGATGAGAAATGTCACAACGCAATGAATTAAAGTCTGGCTGCATATTATTTTGTTGTGTGACTTGGAAGGTTATGGTTTGGGTTTTTGTTTATCTAAAATAACAGTTGAAACTTTAGTCTACCTTTGAAAATATTTGCACCAGAGCCAAGTATTGTTTTGCAGCTGTTGTTTCCTTGGTTTAAGACTCAATTGACACCTCAGTGAACCACAAATTAGCGTCTACAGCTGCTCGCAGTAGGACTGCTTAGAGACCACACAATGGAGGTTGTCAGAAAAAGGGCAGAGAGAAAACATCAGGCCTTAAAAGAAATAAAGTGGCATGTTTCTTCTTTTTGTGATGGCTAATATATAAACTAGTAATTCGTGGATATTCATTTTTATTTTCCTCTTCTTTTTTCAACCAAGTATTTAGGCTAGATTCTTTCCTTTTCTAATACTTTCTTGATTATTTTCCATAAAGAACAAAATTTATCTTTTCACATTTGTTAAACTGTAGCAGTAGCTTTTTGTAAGCAGTGATAAGAGAGTTGTGTGCTGAATTTGTCATTAACATAAAATACTAATCACAGAAGCTTCAGGTCACTTAGAATTTGTAGATGGGAATATAAGCTATCATCTGATGAAATACCCTACTCTTTTGCTTTGAGCTAAATATTGTTTAAAATAGCATAGCAAGTTTCCTTTTGTAACAGTATTGTTCAGTAGAAAGATGTCCTTTAGATGATTATATTACATTTGAATTAACTCCTTGTCCCCGATGAAATTTTAGAACAGGAACTTTGCATTTCTAGTATAACATATAATGTTTCATAAGAGAAAATGATTTGAGCCAGAAGTGTAGAATTTTTTAAATGAAAAAATTCTATTTTTATTCATATTTTATAAAACAATACAATGTTTTTAGAAAGTGGAATATATTAAAACAAGATTGAATTTCTAAAATGGTTTTAGAAGCTTGACAAGTTCAGTTTTAGGGAAACAACTCATTTAATTATCAGAAATTATTATTTTTAATACCCAGGTTTTCATCCATATTTTTGAAGGAAGGGGGAGGTAAACAGGACAGGAAGAGTATTAAAGTATTATGTTATTATGATTAGATTATAAATTCAAGTTCTAGATCTTCTAAAACAAATTTTAAATGACAATAAATTCTACAGATTGTTTTCAGGGTCGAATGTTACCATTTGGCTTAATAATATATAGAGGCACTAAAAAACTCAGTTCTTCCTAAACAGTCTTTACATAGGTTCTTTGGGAAAATTTTAAAGACATTGAGAAAGCAGTTGGATTTTGTAGAACAATTCTCAGTCTAATAATTTCACATCTTGTCTAATCAAACCTTTTTGCTTCTTCAAATTCAGGCAGAGGCCTTTTGTTATTAGCATTGTTTCTGTATGAAATTAATTTCCTAATAAATTACAAGTAATCTTATCATCCCCTCTAAGGGGAAAAAAATATATACCACACAAAAAGGCCTTCAAGGAACTCTTGGTTCTAGGCACTTGATAATAATCCAGTGATGAAAAGGTCTGGGCTCAGAGTGCGTGGGTTTGGTGTGCTGTTTGTCACGGTTTGGTTCTTGTGCTGGGTTTGGTGTTGTTAATACGCCACCCTGGGCTTTGGAGAGCTCCAGTTTTGCTGTTTGTGCTGGATTCACTGAAATTTCTTAGAGGCTTACATTTAAGGATCCCACTTACTGCAGTCACTCCTTGTGCTTTATTGCTTTTACAAGTGGTCTCAAACCCGGTACTTGAGAATAAACATAACAGTGCAGTGCTGCTGTAGCACTTTAAAAATTCTTCTTTGCTCTATTTTGTCAGTGAGCTGATGAGCAACCTCAAAAAAAAAAAGACCCCAAAAAAAAAAAAAAAAAAAAAAAAAAAAATGGCTTCCTCTGATGTCCTAGAGACAATAATTATGATGTGCTAGTTAAGCCCAAACTACAGCTGAGGGATTTTACTTTAAAGCAGCGGCTTGGGCGCAAAAATGCATTTATAGCTCTTTGTCTGCACCTCATTATGTGTGGGCCTGATTCATTAAGTAATTGGTTTGCAGTTGTTTACATGAGTATTAAGGCCTTCTTTTCAGCCGCCTTTGAGAGATACATTGTGCAAATGTTGCCTGTGATGAATGCAGAATGAGGGCCAGAGGGTCCGTCCTATTGGCTAAACAGTGCACTCCTGTTGAAAAGCCAGAGAAAGGGATTGGGTGCTGCTTTGCATAGCAATGACTTTCTTAATAAGCGTTACAGATTAATACACACAAGCTATAAAAGATGCAAAGAGATACTCTTAGCACATTTATACATGCTCATTTCATTGTGATGGTGGTGGGGTTTGGGTGCTTTCATATTCCGTTTTTCAGAGCAGCAGCTTCAGTGCATGAGCCGTAATAGAATCTGATGTTTATTGTATTATAAATCACGGGCAAGTAGGCAGATTGGCAACAGTTTATTATTAAAGATTCTTTCAGTGTAAATCTTTTTCTACCATTGTATTTGCTTCAGCAAAATCATTTTGTGGTTGAGTGGGGATGAAAGGCATAATGTACGAAGGAGTGAGTCCTAATAGGAAGCTGTTCTCCAAGTAAAGACCACTTGTTCCCTTTTGTTCAGGGGTGCATGCCAGAGCTTCCTCTCTTCTGCAAACATTGTCTCGCTTTACCTTCCCCAGCAAGTGGTTTTCACTCTCCCGGATCCGTTTGTTCAGTGGAGAGTATATTTTAACAGCCTGCCCTTAGCTTACTGGTTCCTGCCTTGTAACTTCAGCTTACTGGTTGGACCAGATAATGTTTTGCCAAAAGGAAAGGGTGTGTGCTTGCAACATAATTGCTTGGGGGAAAGGTAGCAGAAGTCACCCAGCCACTGTACCCTGGCAGGGCCACCGTGGGTGGCATTCGGTGCCAACCTTGCAGCCACCGGAGTGACCAGTGGAGGGCGCCAGCCCACAGTTAATGCTCTGGTGGGGGCGGTGGCATCTGTCTTTGCCTGGTCACTGTGCATATTTCCGGGAATAACAAAGATTTTAAGGAACCAATAGTCCAATGAAATAAAAATGAGTTTTTGCTGGAAGTCCTTTAGGTTCTTATATAAAAGCACTCTTCTCTGTCTTGGGTTTGGCAAATCTCTGTTCTTAAATTCCATTGAATTAGCAGCTTCCTAAATATGTCATGTTTCTTATCACAAGCCCACATACTTTCTTTATCTGCACAAAGCAAATAAGAACAATCACTGCTTATTTGAAGAGAAAAAGTTAACAAGTTGACCTCACTCCACTAAAAGTGGCATCCTTTGTAGGTCCCCTGATTAACCATCAGGGGGCGCTCAGACTTTGTTAAATTACTGGTTGGCCTTTAAAACCTAAAATTAGTGTTTACAGAAATTTGTTGGCACAGTCATTGGGGTTTTTTTTCTTTCTGGATTATTTTTTGCCTTCTGTTTTTCAGAAACATATGTCTGTTTTGAGGAACATTCCAGCCGAAGTTGCTTCTTTAGAAATTGTAACACTGATTTCTGCTAGCATTCAAAAACCATTAAAAATTTTAGAATTTGGAGTCCAAAGACCATGTCTTCTCATAAATTAGCTATTTTCATCCTTCTAATAAGACTCCAGAACTGGAAGGACACTTCCCGCCAGGAGCTATTCCTCCTAATCCTGGACACCATGGACAGTGCTCCTGGCAGGACCCTCTGAGTCTCATTGCCACATTCAACTGGTGTGGCCTCAAAATCACAGTAACTTGGGTATGTTTGTTAATGGACCATGACTATTTTTTCTTTTTTAAAACATTATATTGACAAGCAGGACACAGTGGCTCATGCCTATAATCCCAGCACTTTGGGAGGCTGAGGCAGGCAGATCACTTGAGGTCAGGAGTTTGAGACCAGCCTGGCCAACATGGTGAATCCCCATCTTTACTAAAAATACAACAACAAAAAAAAATTAGCCAGTTGTGGTGGTATGCACCTGTAATCCCAGCTACTTGGAAGGCCGAGGTAGGAAAATCTCATGAACCTGGAGGCAGAATTTGCAGTGAGCCAAGATTGTGCCATTGCACTCATCTGGGCAACAGAGCAAGACTGTTTCAGAAAAAATGATGACTGGGTGTGGTGGCTCACGCCTGTAATCCCAACACTTTGGGAGGCCAAGGTGGGTGTATCACCTGAGGTCAGGAATTCGAGACCAGGCTGGCCAACATGGCAAAACCCCATCGCTACTAAAAATACAAAAATTAGCTGGACATGGTGGCAGGGGCCTGTAATCCCTGCTACTCAGGAGGCTGAGGCAGGAGAATCATTTGAACCTGGGAGGCTGAGGTTGCAGTGGGCCAAGAGCATGCCATTGCACTCCAGCCTGGGTGACAGGGCAAAACTCTGTCTCAAAAAAAAAAAAAAAAATTTTTTGATCACAAAATTGAGCCAATGTGTTACAAACATTAGGCCTTCCCTCTGCTCTTTTTTCCAAACTCTGCCCCCTCCTCCTGCTCTGGAACAGGAATGAGTATCTGACACCCACCTCTGCTGCCATGAATCTCTGAGGAGGACCTGCACCCTGTCAAGCATGGGTGGTCTGCACACTGCACACCCTTACCAGGCAGCTCCCCTTGCCCCCCTGCTCATGAATAGTTGACAGCCAGACCACGTGTCGTGCTCACATATGACCCACTCTTTCATGTTCCTAGCTTTCATTGGAATGCTCCTGCCCCACTCTTTTACCTGGTTAAGGCCCTCTAGATTTTTCAAGGCTTAACTCAACCTTCTGAAAGTTTCCTAAGCAGAGACCTGGCTGTACAGCATACCCCTCCTGTGGTCACCCTAGCTATTTCTGTTATCATCTGTAGTGTAGGGGTAGAAGCCATTTCCCGGTATCCTCCCTCCCACAGTGTGGCAGATTTCATTAATTTATTTATTTATTGAGATGGGGTCTTGCTCTGTCACCCAGGCTGCAGTGCAGTGACACAATCTTGGCTCACTGCAACCTTTGCCTCCCAGCCTCAAGCAATTCTCCCACCTCAGCCTCCCAAGTAGCTGGAACCATAGGCACATGCCATCACACTCAGCTATTTTTTTGTGTTTTTGGTAGAAACGACATGTTGCCCAGGCTGGTTGCGAACTCCTGAGCTCAGGCAATCCTCTCTCCTCGGCCTCTCAGAGTGCCGGGATTACAGGCGAGCCCCCATGCCCAGTGGCGGGTTTCTTAATCACCAGCGCTGGATAGTCACTACATTTCCTGCGTGAGTAAGTGTGGGTACATAGCTCCACCATCCACTCCAGTGTTTGTTTTGTTTTTTATGAAAGGCAGTTTGTACAAGTTCCCTCCCTTCTGTATGGCATCATGTGCTTGAGCTGCAGGGAATCATGCATTGCTTACAGTTATCTGCATAAGTGTGTGAGAGACTGTGTGTGTATGAGACAGTATGTGTGTGTGAATGTGTATGCGTATGTGTTTAGACACATGCATTTTCAAAAGGAGACTGGTGGTGACTGTGAATATGCCCTCTGCCGATGCATCCACAGTTTCAGGAAGTAGGACCTGGCTGAACACACTTGCAGAGAGCCTCACTGGGGGTCTTTCCTGGCTGCTGTCTTGTCTGCTGATGGAGAGGTGTCTGGCTTCGGGCCCTGACCTTGATGAGAGCTCTTGGAACATGCTGAAGGCCTGGAACATCATCCCCCAATTCCACTGTTGCCAGTTCTCAGCCAACCCTGCAGTTGCCTTTTCAGCCCATGTCATGGTGGTTATTCTGGTGTCAGTCTCTTTACTGGAGGGCAAGCACCTCAAGGGCATGGAGCGAGTCTGTCTTGTTTGCTGCTGCAGCCCCAACACAAAGCCTGATGCCTTGCTCTGCCCCTGCTCCTGGAAGGCCTGGCTAAGGCAGTTTCCCTGTCTCTTCCCGTTTCAAGGGCACCCATCCATCAGGTTCTTCGAGGAAGAAACCACGCATCTCAGGCCTATCTTCTCTCCATCTGTCCCCGAACCTCCCATTCCTTGGCCCCTGTGTCTGAGTATTGATCACCCCCACCTGGAACCCATGGCTGCACATCACCAAACTGAGCACATGCTTTTGTTGATCCAAATGTGATGACTGTGCAGTGGTACTGCTTACTGAGGTCTGCTGTCTACAGGCTCTCACACGGGATTGTCTGTAAATTTATCAGAACACTTCCAAGAAGGCATTACTGTCCCCATTCTACAGACAAGGAAACTGGCACTTGGAGAGGTAGGCAACTTGTCCAGTACCCTGCGGTGAGCAGAGTCTGTCTGGCCCCAGAGCTGATTCTGTCTCAGCTACTGAAAGCAGCTCATATAGCAAGGCACGCACGACGGCAGGGTTCTCCTTGTCCTAGTGTTTTCCCGCTTCTCAGGAGTCCTGTGGGGTGGGTGTCTACAATGTGTGCATTTTAGGAGTGTCCCGAAAGGAGTGTTTTCTTCCACTTCTGCTCTACTGCTGGCTCGTTCTATGTGTCTTAGGACACATTTCTCAACCTCTCTGGGCTCTACCACTGTACAGCGAAGGCTCTGGGTTGATAATCTGTAAATGCTGTCTTCTAATTTGATAGTAGCCTTCTTGGCCTTGGGTATTCTTGTGTCTCATTTTTGTCTTTACTTGTTGGCTCCACAAAGCAAAACTTATTATTGTCAATAATCCTTACTGTGTAACTTTATATTGATGTTGGCTGTGTAGACCAATTCTAGCTACGTTAGCCTTTTGCTCTTACAAAGTGAACAACTGACACGTAATTGTTACTGTTTTCCATTGCACACTGTGTCATCCTGACCCCATGCATAGGATGTTTACCGTGTGTCAGGACTGCTCTCAGATAAAACCTGTTCTGTTAAAACCTGGCTGGCCTTCACTTCTTAACAAGGTTGAGAACAAAAGTGACTCTGATTAGAATTGTCCTAATCTGGCTTATCAATGGCAGGAGAATTGATAAGCATTTATCAAAATGCATCCGAAATGAGATGGCTTAATGGATAGGTAGAGGGGAGAGATGTGATGAAGTCAATATGGCAGAATGGTAATATGTGGGCATCTCCCTAACGGAAATAGGACACTCCTAGTACAGCTGGGAGAAAAAAATGACCAAACCTACTGGGAAATTCCGCAGAGATAATTGTCATATCATTTTTAAATTAATAAAAATAAATTAACTTTTTTTTAGACAGAGTCTTGCTCTGTCACCCAAGCTGGAGTGCAATGGTGTGATCTCGGCTCATTGCAACCTCCATCTCCTAGGTTCAAGTGATTCTCCTGCCTCAGCCTCCCGAGTAGCTGGGATTACAGGTGTGTAACACCATGCCTGGCTAATTTTAGTATTATTAGGAGAGACAGGGGTTCACCATATTGGCCAGGCTAATCTCGAACTCCTGACGTCAGGTGATCCACCTGCCTCAGCCTTCCGAAGTTCTTGGATTACAGGTGAGAGCCACCGCACCCAGCTGATTGTCCCATTAAAATGAGACCAGCGGAACATGGTTTTATTTTAATTTACTCAGTTAATCATCTCTAGTGTCTTACCTGAAAATGGTTTATTTTGAAGTAGGACCTCCAGTCCAATTGTAAACTTCTGGGGAAAAAATACCAAGTCTGCTCTCTGGGGTTCCAAGGGTCACCCCTGAGCCACAGTGCAGGGGAGAGGCAGGCTCTTAGGCTTGCAGCATGGGCCTCATGTGAGGCAATTCTTGACAGCTGTAATGGCCCTTGGGCCATGCCCAGGCCACTGCCTGGGTCTCTGCAGCCTGCAAGCAAAGAGTGGTTTTCACATTTTTAAATGGTTGGAAGAAAATTCAAAGAATAATGTTTCATGACATCTGAAAATTAGATGAAATTAAAATTCCAGTGTCTATACATGAAGTTTAATTGGAATACAGCCACATCTTTTAGTTTACAAATTGTCCATGGTTGTTTCTATGCTACAACCACAGAATTCAGTAGTTGCAGCTGACCATATGGCCCACAAAGCCCAAACTATTTACTGTCTGGCTCTTTACAGAAAACCTTTGCCAACCTCTGTCTTACAAGATGGAAACATTACTTCTACACTCTCAGCAAAGATTAGGCAGTCAGATTCCAAGCACATAAGACCACATGGTGACCATATCCCATGGCCTACACCCTTCACTCTGATTTCTTTTACTTTCTGAAATGCAGTTTTGTTATTATTTCATCTACTCTAGTGGACAAGGTCGTTGGCTCTATCCAGGACACCAGAGAAAGTTCTCAGGCTTCTCCATCAGCCTTGCCTTAGCTTTACATATTAGATATGACCTAAAGAAAAAAAAAATTGACCCTAAGAATTCTGTATAATAAAAAATCAACCTTGAATTGCAGGGTCACATTGACTTTCAGAGATTTTCTCAAAAGGAACAATAATTGCCCCTTCAATGTGAGAGTTGAGAACAAAACACTGGAAAGCGCCCTCTGCCCTTCTCCGTGGGTAGATCACGCACCACGCACATTTAGCTCTGAAACATGTTTCCTGTGAGTAAACCAATAACACAGACAATTAAGAACCATTACACAATTAATTCACATTTCACTGGGATGTTTACTGGCTCCCTGTGGCTTAAATGTTCTCAAAGCCACACTGTATAACCATAGGACAGACAGAAAAAGCAAGTTCAAGTGGCCTCATAGAGACATGGCTTCAGGAAATCATTTTTTCCTAGAGTACCACATGCAGAAGTGAGATCCCTGAGATGCGCAGTGGGTCACCTCCGTGGCAGGACTCGGCGTTGCTGGCTGATTGCTTTTGATGAGTTAAGTGACTACTGACACACACTCGCATAGATGGTTCTCATGCGTCTGTGTTTACAGCATTGTACGTGACTTTTTTCCTTTCCTCCCCCACCTTTAGCTTTTCTGGGTTTTTATTTTTTTTTTCTTTGTCAGCAGGAAAGCCAAAGAAACTTGAACTTGATTCTGAAGTGTAATATTAAATAGAAATAGGCAAATTAAGTATTGTATAATTGAATATTGATCAAATGCCTTTAATCAGGGCCCTCAGCTTAGTGAGGAGCACTTGTTCATTCCAAGTGAACATGTTCATTAATCACCTGTTAAGTGCTGTGCACCGCATTACCCAGGTGAGCTGAAACAGGTGTCGTCACTGCGCGCATGGAGCTTGCAGTCAGAGGGGAAAGGGTGGCCCATCAGTTCACTGCACAAGTGAATGTGAAACAGCAACTTGATGAGGACTCAGTGGTGAAGACAGGGAGTCGGAAGTGGGAAGGCTCCAGCGGGACAGCACGACACCCCTGGGGATCCACCTTGGAGGCGCTGCTTGGGATTTAGGTCTTTGAGCAGAAATCAGTGGCAAGGCGTTGAAGAATTTTAAGCGAGGAAGTGGAGTGACCAGATTTGCATTTCAGAAAGCTCACTCTTAATTGCCTAGTGGAAAATGGGTTGTAGGGGACAAGATGAGTGTGTCACCAGTTAGGAGGTTGTTGCAGAGACAGAAGTAAGAGCTGATAGTTTTGTTGACCAGTGTGGTGGCAGTGCCCAGGGAACTGGTGAGGACTGCACGAAGTCTTGTGGAAGTTGGGGAGGAATAGCAGGACAAGGGCCAGTGTGGAGAAAAGAGGAGTGGAGACTGGAGAGAGGCTTGGGAGGACTAGTGGGTCGGGGTGCCATTCGCTGAGATGGGAGGAAGGGCCTGGTCTGGCAGAGAGGATGGTGAGTTTGGTTGTGGATGGGAGTGTTGACCGTGAGGCACTTCGGAGGAGCTACATGAAGCCACCAAGTGGGCGCTGAATGTGTTTCTTTCTGGAGCTCAGAGAAGTGACCCAGGACATGGGCACCTGGCTGAGCTCTCCTGCCACTGTGTCCTTTCTCCTGTGTCCTGGACTCCCTGCTGCCCCACCACACCACACCTTGTTCCTCAGTCCCAGCCTGTGAAGGCCTCTGCCTTGGGAGGCACCTGGCTTCCTCTGCGGTCTTGCAGCTCCCCCATCGCCGCCACAGTGCTCTCAGTCCCCCCAGCCAGCAAAGCTCTCTACCCCTCCCGCTGTGGCTCTTCTTGTATGGACCACAGCTGGCAAATTAGGCTCTTTCTACTCCTCCTAGAGTTTTATAATCCACCCTCCCCTGCAGCACCTAGCCCTGTGTCCTCAGGTATTGGGAGGTGGGGAAATAATAGACATCCCCACAGTTGCATTTGTGTGTGTGTGTGTGTGTGTGTGTGTGTGTGTGTGTGTGTGTGTGTGTGTGTCACTTTCTGTAAAATGGGTTCTTGCAGGCTCACCTCACTGGCAGGTCCCCACAATCCTGGCAGCTCCAGGACTGTCATTCAGCTGCTGACCCTTCCAGATGCTCATAGAGGTCTCCCATGCTTCATGGAGAAATGGCTGTGAGCACTACTCAGTCATGGCAATTAAAGAAACAAGCACTAAGTTTACAGCGAACACTGAAAGATAGCCGAGAAAATGATACCTTAGTGGAGCATGTTTTTCTGAAAAAAATAAAAAGGAAATTATAGCAAAAGGTAGATTTTTAAGCCAAAAGTCAACCAGACTTGGCCCAAAGGGAAGGAAAAGATGTATTTGCAGGGTTTACTGTGTCCAGGAGAGCAAGGCTGCGGCCGTGAGGTGGCGGTGCATGGTGTAGGGCGGTGTCGAGCCATGCACCAAGAGTGGTTTCTCTTCTGACATCTCCTGTGACCAAGTCTTAAAGAACCTTAAACTTATTAAAATTGCAAAAGCTCCTGAAAAGGCACATGGAGAAATCATATCATATAGAGCCAGTTTTCTTGCTGTATTGGCCTCAGTCGAGAAGTCACTCAGTCCTGGATGTCATGGACACTGGCTTTTATGTGACACTTGCAGTGCTCTCTACCAGGTGTTTATTCTGGAATCCTTTCTTAAGCTGTTAGCATTGCTGCCACTGGTTTGACTAAGTATTTTAGCTTCCCCAACAACGTCTTAAATTCCCTACTGGAAGTGTTTCATTTTTAGCTTGCCTAAAAGCACTAAAGCTTTACACATCGGTGTTTTCCAGAAGTCTGTTGAAGGGAAACCGGTCCTCTGCCTCAGGGGCCCATGCGATCATCCTCCCCCAGGAACACATGGCCCCACCCAGGCACAGCTCAGCAGTGGGGGGCGGGCCATGCTGACCTGCCGAGGGGACACACACAAGACAGGAGCAATGCTGTTGAGCAGCGACCCTCCCAACAAGGCCACGCTGCATCCCAATATCTTCCTTTTACTTTTAAAATCTGGGAATTAAGTGCAAAGTTCTGGCCTCCAGTGACTCAAAGTGCTAATGCATTTGTTATGAAAATGTTAGTCTCATTGTCTTTTTTTTTTTTTCCAGAACTTAAGACTGTTTCTTTTTTTTTGCAGGCATGAAAACAAAAACAAACCCATGATCAATTTAATATCTAATGGTAAGAGAAATAACTGGACACCAGATTTTCATTTTTTGTTTTAACCAAAAAACTCTGCGACATGCATTTGTTGTTTACACCCTCGTGTGAGTCCTGAAGCGGCCATGCTCACAGGGACTGCCCTTGCAGCTCTCCCTGGGGTGGGACCTGAGGGCTTCTGGAGGCACAGTTCTTCATAGACAGGGCCACACAGGTGTCATGGACCACAGGGGCAGAGCATTGTAATTTGAGAGTATGACTTTGCAGGGGGATCCTGGCCCCTGCATCTAATTAATTACCAGCATGGTGTATTTTACCAGTAAAATGTTTCTTGCCTCTCTCCCCATCCTCAGAAGTACCCGTTGCTCATGACTGGACAGGCTCTTGAAGTAACTAACCGGTTTCCTCATACCCAGTCCCTCCCAGCTCCTGACGGTCCTCCACCTGGCCACCAGCCTCCAAACCCTGGCTTCCCCCACCTTCCTGTGTAAGGACTACCGATGCCTCCCCACCACCTGCAGGGCAGAGTCTGAGCTTTCTCCGTTCCCGGGAGGCCCCAGCCCTGCTCTCCAGCTTATTCCTCCCAAGGTCCAGCCCTCTTTGAGTCAAGCCACGGTCAGCTTTTTTCAGCTATACCACACCTATGCCTCTGTATCTTTGCCCATGTTGTTCCTTCTGTAGGGAGTCCCTTTTCCTTCTCCTCAGCCCAGGGAGCTCCTATTCATCCTTCAACACCCAGCTCACAGGAAGGATCTAGCCCTCCTTCTACCATGACACTGTGGCATACCTGTTGCCCAACTTGGGCTTTCTCAGCTCCTGTCTCCTTAAACCCCCTTATACCGTAAATTAAAGGTATATTTGATTAATAGTTTTATTGCTAATAACAAAAATATGTACTATTTATCAAGCACCCAATGTGTCCCACTTTGCTAACCCAGCATGGAAACGAATTCAGAGCTGCTGTAGTGCCTAGGCCTAGGAATCTGCATTTTTAGCAAGTACTCCAGTGTGAATCACTCTTCTAGAAGGACAGCTACCTACAGTTGGGGAGACAAGTACTCGGTGGGTTGTGATGTGGAGTATGGGCTTGAGTCAGATGACTTGGTGGGACTCCCGGCTTGGCCACTCACTGGCATTGTGATTGTGGCCAGTTACTTAACCCCCTCAGCCCCAGTTTGTTTGCTCAGTAAAATGGAAACATTAATACTTACCTTGCCAGGCTGGTGTGAGGTTGAGATGGGGTCACATATGAGGTCAGCACAGAGCTGGCAGGCGGTGCGTGCAGGTGTCAGCAGAGTTAAGAGATTGTTGCTGTAGTAGATGTGGTCAGCTCCACCACCACATTTCTGCCGGGCCACCTGAAGGCACCTCAGCTCCACCAGGCAGCTGTGTCTGTCTGCCTGAGGGCTTTCTCGGCTGTAGGAGCAGACCAGCCCTCACAGGACAGCCCAAAGTGCCGGGGAGTTGATGCCCTGGGTTGAGAGCAACCCTCAGCCAGCAGAGGTGAGTTGGTGATCGGTAACCCCGTTCCCTTGCTCTTCATTGGGACAATCTGGGGAGAGTTCTTCAGGCTCTCAGGGGCCCCAGCAGGCTGAGCCTCGCCCATCCATTCACTGCCAGGCAGCTACTCATCATCATACCCTTCACTGGCTGCCCGTATTCCTTGTGTCTCTGTCTCCATGGTTCCTGGGATCACCTCTCAAGTAAACAATGTGGACCAAAGTCCTGTCTCAGGCTAAACATCTCTGATTATTCCTCTGCCATATCTTTCCATTCTCCTCTCTGCTCTCATAAAGAAGAGAGGGAGATAAAAGTGGAGGGGCAGCTGGGGTGGGGTGGCATCAGGATGATACAACACCCCAGGGAACCCTGCTTCCATGTTACCTCTGACTGACTTTATTTTTATTTATTTGTTTGTTTGTTTGTTTGTCTTTTTGTTTGAGGGAGTTTTGCTCTTGTTGCCCAGGCTGGAGTGCAGTGGCATTATCTCAGCTCACCACAACCTCCACCTCCTGAGTTTACAAGCAATTCTCCTGCCTCAGCCTCCCAAGTAGCTGGGATTACAGGCATGTGCCACCACGCCTGGCTAATTTTGTATTTTAAGTTGAGTTGGGGTTTCTATATGTTGGTCAGCCTGGTCTCGAACTTCTAACCTCAGGTGATACCCCTACCTCGGCCTCCCAAAGTGCTGGGATTACAGGCGTGAGCCACTGCGCCCAGCCATTAACCCTGACTTTAAATCCCTATCCTATGATAAAGAGTTGGGCACAACAGAAGGGAAAAGGAAGTATTCTACAAAGTGTGTTCCATAACACTGCATAGTACACTTTGAAATGTGTACATTTGTGCAATACGGACATGCATTTGGATGTGTCTGGTCAGGTGCATCATGTGGTGTCCCTGTTAGGCATTTTGCAAACTGACACTCTGCTCAGCCAGTCCCTCTGTGCTGTGCTGTTTTGTAAGCTCTTAACTAGAGTGCAGAAATGTTAAATGGCTGTCTGGTTTTATTTTCCAGCCGTCTGGGATGAGTCTGACGACAGCAAC